CATCAACCTTTTTATTTCTCCCAGTTTCCCTGTGAGATAAGCTTATCTCCCTTTAACAGACAAAATTGAGGTTTTAAGGTTATAAGCTGTCCAGGTGGAGTTTGATTCCATGTCCATTTAACTCCAAAGCCCATTCTCCTTCTACTCAATGGCCTTCTCAGAGAACCCAGAATATGACAAAATAAACACTTATGCAAACTCTCCAGAAGCCAACATAAGAGATTGTCTCATTCATTTATTTGTTTGAGCAGGGACCTTCCCTGTCTTCTAGGTAATATGTGGAAGATGGATCAGAAACTACTTAATCAGAGACTTTGAATGTTTCAAGGGGAATGTGGCTACAGTGCCCAATCTCCAAAGGGCCCCAGTGCCATCCCAACATGGCTGTTCCTGCACAAAAAGAAACATGCCAAATATTCCTTCTACTTCCAGCAAGGATCTCCAAACACAATATAATTAATAAAATCACTCACATCCTGTGTAGATGAGTAGTGTTTTATATGTACAAATTCCCCTCTGCCCCCAGGCCCTCCAAGGGTATGAGAATGTTTCCAATTTTAAAGAGTGAGCAATAGAGTAATTGAAAGGAGCTGTATCTTGGCAAACTCACAAGACCTCAAAGACATTTATGGTGACCTATATGAGAAAACATGGTGACCACAAAGTGTGTCATAATGGCTTGTCAGCCATGCTGTGTTAAAGGGTTCAAAGATAGGAAAGACAGGGCAAGAATAAAACATTCAGTTCTTAAGAGTCGGATACCCCTGGAATCGATAGTACGATCTGTTTGGTCAAGCCTCCAACGGATCTAGAAGCAGTGAAGTGGTGACATTAGCTGATGATTCAGTTTCTTGGGTTAATCAAGGCAGTAGGGACAGACGGAGCCAATTAAGTAGCTAGGAAGCCCAGTGATAGATGAATCATTATAGGCAAGTGCAAAGATAATGCCATTGGGAAAAGCAATTTAAGTCATTCATGCACTTCCAGGCCAGGAAATCCTTCTAGACTTCGAGGGGAAGCATGTAGGAATCATGAGGCTCAGCGTGATGAAGTCATCTGTTCATTGTGCAGCTAACAATCAACAAGGGGGCCGAATGCACAGGGGGACAGGCCATATGGAACACATTTTGGTGGCTGGGATGTATCTCTGTGCTTTCATTTCAATCACCTTTAAAATAAGCCTTATCACTGCCCTCTTTTCTTTTCCTTCTCTACATCATCTCCCTCTACTCCTTCTGTTGTTATCTCTCTAAACACACAATTTCAATGTATGGATGAATTTTTTTTGGAAGTATAGCAAATATTCTCCTTCCTCATTTCTAGTTCTGCATTTCCAATACACTGCTTTCTGTACATATACAAGTTTCCAATGGACACCTACAAAGAAACATGTTAAACAAAAAAAAAAGTCTTTTTCTTTTTTTAAAGCACCAAGGAGGCTGTGTCTAAAAAAAAAAAAAAAAAAAAAAATTATACAGATGTTTCTATACCTCTCTGGGCCCCTTACTTGTATTTATGTTGCAAATCTAGAAGTGAGGGGGGTGCTTTTTTTTTTTGGAAAGAGGTAGGTGGGAAAAGGATATATGAATTAAAGAAAACCATACTTGGAACTACCTGTTTCTTTAGAAACAAATTCCCAGCCAAGGGTTCCAAATAAAGGTTATCAATGACTTTCATGTTGATAAATCCAATGAACACTATTCCATCTCCTGGTTTATCTTCTCCCTGTCTAGTTGATCCTATTTTGTCTCCCTTTTAGGTTCATCCTCCTCTTCCCAACCCTAAATGTTGGATTCTTCAATCTCTGTAGTCTTGCCCTCCCCCTTTTTGTTTTTGACAATCTACCCATCTTTCCAGCCTCATTTTGTTCCACACTCAACCACATCTTGCCTGTTTCACAACTACTCTGTTCTACAAACCACAGGACCATTGCACCTGTTTCCTAAGCCTGGAATACTCTCCTCTAGCTTTGTGCCTGGTTAATACTTTCTCGTCCTTCAGATCTCTGTTTACTCATCATTTATTGACTTTCTCAGATTTGGGAGATTGGTCCAATCTCCCTATATGTGAGCTTTCATAACACCACATAACATTTCTTTGCAGTGCCCATCAGAGTTGCAATTTTACAACCATTTTTGTGATGATTTGATTAATGTCTGCCCCCCCTACTGGAATATCAGCTCTTCTCTGTGTTAATATCTGATGCTTTCTATTGCTACTAACTAACCTTACAGTTTCCACCTCTCTTCTTCCTAGGTTGCCATGGTTTCTAATGACCAATGGCTAACTCTGTTTCATAGATTTCATAGATTCTGCTAATAAGCTTTTCTGTGTCTTTCAATTTCTTCTCTTACCACCAATTGTTAATTCTCTCTAAATTTTTCACATCCACACTGTTATAGCAAGAATATGTGATTGGTTTAGTTCATATTTATCATCTTTTTGTCAAAGTTCCTATAATAGACCAATTCATGGCTCCTTGGCCAACACACAGATGGACTGTCCTTGGGTCAAGGGCATCCTCCATTCATAGGCTGTGGCCAGGAGAGTGGGATCGAGAGGTCAATTTCCCTGAGAAAGAACAATGAGACAGATGCTTTCAACATCACAGCCTGCTTGCTGAGAGCTGACAGAGTTAAAGAGGGATCTTCCTTGAGAACTTGGGTTGGGTGAAGGATAGTAAGAGAAAACAAGCATGGATAGTTGGGGCATTTAATATCCTGTTCCTTGCCTGGCATTCCACTCAACTAAATCTCCATCCTTCCACATATACTGTATTAAGATGTCACAGACGTTAAGTCCGTTTGGGCCTGATGAGCAAAGGAAAACTTTTAAAGGAAGATGTAAAGTATTTGGGGAGTGATAGAGCCTAGTGGGAAAGTATCAGATGACTAGATAAAGAAAGTATCCTTTGGGGGCCTAATTCTGGTTCCCCCTTACTCCTTGGGTGCAGCCTCCACCCAAAGTGAAGGGGGCCCTGGACTCCAACCCCTCACAACATAAGACTGTTGAAGCTTCCCCAGCATTCAACTTCTCAACTGCCTGTACTAGAAAATAAATTGGTAGAGTTATGATCCAAACAGCTGGCAGAGATGAGAGTTTTGTTGATCTCGAGAAGAGATGGCCACCATCTGTTACCTGGGCAGAGCACTGTCGTATAGGGGTACATAGCACAGATTCTACACCCAATTTCTTGGGTCAATTTTTGGCTCAGCTACCCACCAACTACATGGACTTGAGTAAAGTTACGTGGTTTCTCCTTGTGTGCAACATAGGATTATGGTACCTAAATCAAAGTGTTGAACGCTTATAACAGTGGTGACATTACATATGTGTGAGCTATAATTATTGTTGCTGATATTATTATTGCTCTTTAGAGGCCACCTGATCCAATTAATGGCCACCTGGATTACTCAGGAAGCATTTGATTGTAGGTGGCAGAAAAGGAAATGTATCATTTCACACAGCAGAAAAGCCCAAAAAATGGCCTAACTTAGCCATGGCTAGACTCAAGGGTTCAAATGATGTCATCAGGACTTTTACAGTCTTGTGGCTTGGCTTTTATCTGAGTCAACGTCATTTTCAAGCAGGTGTCCTCCACCTGGTGGCAAAGATGCAGCTTAAGGATTATCTCATCCTCACACTTCATCAGTGGATCTGAGAGGAAGCCTAATAGGCCCAGGTTTTGTACTGTCATCAAACCAATAATCGAGGGATAGAGCATCCCAACTGATCAAGCTCAGGTCTCATGCTACCCTTGTAGTAAAGAGGAAAGGCAGGGCCCACCCTACCCAAACATCATGGTCCCCTGGAGGAAGGATGCTGAGAAGATTCCCACTGCTCAAGCCTTTGTAAATGCACAATCTGGGGCCATTTCTCTAAGAAGGTACCAGATGACCATGACTGACATGTTTACTGATAGTTTTACCCTTTTTCCATTTGGAGAATTACAAACACCCATGAGTGATGATCAAAATATTGAGTAACCTCTAGAGCAGTGTCTCTGATCAGTTTGAATGAACATTCGACCAGTCAGAATGGAGGTCAGGTAAAGACGACCAGGAAGACTGCAGCAACACATCCCTGCTGGATAGCGATCCTGCAGACTTTGGGCTGATTTCCAGGGGACTTAAATGTTTAATCTTATTCATTCTTATTGAGCAAACACTATCTAGTTGTGGCTGGTTTACTTACCTACCTACTTAGAGGCAGGACTGGAGTAGACAGGCATCTTCAGGACAGAACTCTTTCTGTTCTTTAATTCCCTTTGTCAACTCACGTGTGTGACCTCTGCACTGGAACCCAGGCAGGACAGAGGATAAACTTTTGAGCTGAAGTATCAATAACCTTGATACCGACACATGTACCTCACTTGTCCTTCTGTTTTGGGCCAACGCTGTTCTTTTTTCTGGCTGGGGAAAGCAGAAGACCCTCCCCTCTATTAATTACTCTACCACTGCAAATGCCTCACAAAACAGCCCTGGTCTCAGCAGGACCTATCTTTGTCCAGGGATGTGCTACTCCTTCAAATTCAGGTTGGATGAAGGATCCTTTGATTAGAGACTTAGATGAGAAGCAATTTAATGGGCCAGCTCAGCTTGGCTAAAAAGCATCTACCAACAACTGGTGTGTAGTGTGTGTGTGTATTACTTCTCGTCACACTCCCTTCTCCTGAGTTAACATTTTTTAAAGCAGAGTCCATACACCCTAGGTACCTCCCCTGCCTCCCACCAGCCCTGCAGTCTGACCCAGCTTCAGTTGCTTGCAGCACCTAGTAGCACCATCCTCTCCCAACGTCTGCCTTCCAGGCTCAAGACAGAGTCCTGAGCATCAGTGCCCACACCTGCTCCCCAGGAGATATTTCCCCACCCTACTTTGGCCCCCTCCCAGCAAATGATGCGGGCCTGCAGAAAGACACAGAAACACTTGCCAAGTTGACCTGACCTTTGCTTCCCTCTTCCTAATGGGAATTGATAGATTCCATGTTTGTCTCTTTTCAGGGTTGCAGAGAGTATGGCAACTTGCAAAAAACACAAGATACTTCAGACAGAGACTGCAGAAAATGGGATTCATTACCTATGGCAACGAGAGTTCTCCTGTTGTTCCTGTGCTCCTTTACATGCCTAGCAAAGTAGCGTAAGTATGCAAGTACTTTCAGTATCACACCTAAACCCCCAAAGGGACCTAAGATGGTGACGCTATGAGGCTTGTTGGCACAGGCATCAGATTACACACTTGGAATGGAGTGATCAACTTTAGAATTCACTTGTATAGCTTCTCAGAAGCCACCTGCCAGTTCATCAGCCTTTCCATGGGTCTTATAGGAAAGGAACCGGGTGCTAAGACCCTCCTCTCTCCCTAAATGGAAGCTCTGTGCATTCAGGGAAATCACTTATCTCCCTCAACTTCAACTGCAAATTAAGGATGATCCTGAGCTTCCTTCTGACCCAAGATCTCTCTCAGAGAGAATTTCCGAAGACCCTTTCTCCCAATATTATCAGTTTTCAGTCCCTGTAATTTCTCCCCTTGAACTCTGGCCATCCTCAGAAGTGGGCATCCCCATTTTAAATGTGGGAAAGCTGAGGCTGAGAGCAGCTAAACAACTTGCCAAAAGTCATACAAAGTCAAACAGCAGTAAAACTAAGACATAAAAAACCCAAGCCTGGGCTTGCTTCAAAGCTCATGCTCAATTTTTATGCCTCTGCTCTGAGTTGCAACCAATGCATTGTTTTCCATTGATTGCAACTCTGAAATTGAACATTAGCAACCAGTGCATTAAGAGGAAAAGAATTAGTTTTTCTCAGTATGGCATGGATAATTTTATACATGAGCCATTCTCCAACCTGCTAGAGACTAATGACCTCTGTTATTACAAGGAAGTTAACTATTATAAAACCCTTCCTAAAGGTAAAATGTTTATTTGTGTCACTGACCAAGCACATGAGGGAAATTAATATTCTATACAATATTTATCAGATTCTAGAGGTCTCAACTCCCCTCCAACATAACCCATCACTGGAACTTTCTGTTTGACTCTCTAACAGTTTGAATAGATTGGCAGAGTATTTGAAGTATAGAAAAATAACAATAAAAGAGGTTTGGGGCCTAGTAGTTGAAACACATAGCGGGTAAGACTGAGTTATAAATTCCAAAAGACTGATGCTCTTGTGTCATTTCTCCACAGCAAAATAACAACCAGTTAAAACTTACACATGAGGTTTTTGTTTTTTTGTTATTTTTTAGCATGCCGCACCATTACCACCAGTTGGCCCTTTATTCAAGGCTCTGGGTCAGCTAAATAGTGCATGGAGTGTTCAAAGAGATAGTGTGCTACAAATATGTTACGCCCATGCCACTCTGTGCTAATGGCAGGAAAGGGTGACAATAGTGATTCAAAGTAGCAGATAATAAAAAACCTTTTACCATCTGATTTTGCAAGGCAGACACACATACACACACAAAAACCCACATATATTCAAAATGGTTGGGGAAATGATGTGTTCTGGAAGAAAAATTCCAAACTTAGCTCATGTCTGTCTAATATTTCATCATTCATTCAAAAGAAGGCACCAACAATAAACTTGTCCGGGGTGTAACGTGCACAATGCAGAAGTGTTCCAGTGGGAACTGTAGGGAGTGTGCCAGATACTTCCGATTTTAAGGATGGAAGCTGGAATTAGAATCTCAACAGGTCAGAAAAATGAAACCACCCAATAAGAAGAGTCAATGCATAGTAAAAATAAGTGCATTTAAATTCAAGAATTCAATTGTATAGTATGCTTCATGTACAAGTTATGCTGTACGGCGGAGTGAGGAAGTTTGGAATCAAAAAGAATTTTGACTCTGCCTCTTCCTAGCTGGGGTATCTTAGACAAGTTACCCAATCTCCTGAAATCCTGGTTTTCTCATTTGTAAAATGGCATATAACAGGATCTACTTCATAAAGTCATTGTGAAGATTAAACAAGATAAGATCCATACAGCATTTGGCATATTGCCTCTTATATAGGAGCTATTCCGTGTTAGCTGTTATTATTAATCATATTCATAACGTGTAGAAAGCACTTAAAGTAGTGCTTGGAATGACATAAACATTCAATCAGTGGTAGCTATTAGTATTACTACCACTCTGCTACAATGACGATCATTATTAGTTTCAAGTGAGTGCAAGGTTCTGTCACCATAGTTGCATGGCTCCTTAAGACAGTTATTACAATCTTTGGTTACGTTAATAAAAATAGGACTTCCAGGAAAATAGTAGGTAAAATCCTAGTATACTCTCCATCAATATTGCTATATTGAATACTGGAAAATAAATCAAACTGTCTTGTTCCTTTCAACTTAAGATTGTTTTTTAGGAGGAGCCAACATCACAGAATACTGATTATATGCTAAGTGAGGCCATTAGACCTCAGTGACTACCCATGTCGAGTGGGATGCCTATCTCTAGTTTATAAATTAGGATGCTGAGAGTCACAAAGGTCAAACTATTTTCTAAGACTCACACAGGTTGTAGGCAGCAGAGCCCAGAATTCAAAGCCAGTTCCATCCGCCTTCTGAACCAGAGCTCTTTTGAACACAGCCTTTCAAGCTTTAGTCCATAGGAAAAAAAAATACACAACTCATTAAAGCAATACGGAGTATAAATTTAACTTTCTTTAATGTCATCTTTGGTGATTCAAAAAGCATCAATCACTACGATAGAAAAAAAATCTCATCGTTTGGGTTGCCTAAGGAAACCGAGAACAGGTTAGTTACAGAAGGTAATATCATCTATTGCTGGCAGGAGTTGCTGGCAAGAGTTTGCCCTGCTGCCTGGCTTTGTTTCCTTATATGATATTTCTTCCATGGAAAGTTCATATGTGGAGAAGCTTTTGAAACAGGGAGTTAATTGTATAAGCCAGTGTGGAAGCACTTCTTTCATTTGTTCATTTAAAAACTTTGATCTTATGAAAGAACTGTGATTTCTCCACATTTCCACCTATGTGGAATAAAAACATAATCTTTAGCCAGTTATCCTTTTGAAGAAAGTCCTGTTACAACTCTACCACTGGACTTCTCTATAGAGTTCAGTATAATATGATTTCACCTGTAAAATATGCACTTAAATAATCAAGAATATGTTGTATTTAGTACTTGATACAGGGTTTGCACTTTCCTTCCACTGTCCTCCTCATACCCTTGGAAGATGGTGGTACACAAGATGTAGTGATGCTGCATGTAATACCAATTATTTTATTATTCTTATTAATTATTATTTCACATCATTTAGTTTCTTTCAGCCTATGCCAGCTTGAATTTGCTTTGGGGAGTGCAAACACAAAGGCTCATTATAAAAAAATGTTCGGTGCAACCAAATACATTAACTTAAGGACATTAGCTTTAGTAATGTAAGTTTTAAACTCAAAAGTGCTCCAGGGAGGCCCCAGATTAGCCTAATGAATCAACAGAGTCATATATTTCGCTCTGCATTCTTTGGCAAAACTTGCTTCCTTTGGTACAAAGAGAAACATGCAGACAGTGGAAACGGTCTTCTGGGAATCCCGAAAACTGGCCTGAGATCATGGGTCAGGTGGTTTGTACTCTAGCAATAAAAGCACTTGACTTGTTTCTCAGACAATTATGAGCTCTCATTCTGTGCAGTTCCGTGGGCAGCCTTCCATAGGGTGATCAAGAAGGAGAAAGAACAGCCTCTGTTTTCAAGCTTTCTCAGCTAGAAAGCTTCATCTCCTTACAACCTTCCCAGTGGAAATCAAAGGGCAAATCTTGCCTTGCCCAAGCCAGGGGGCCAGACAGGCTGTGTGTTCTGTAGGTCTTACAGTCTCCGTTGCTTTATTTGATAACCTGCGTTCTGCCTGAAGCAACCAAAAGGCAGACTGCTAGACGGCACAGCGGATGAATGGACGAGCAGGCTCACTCTCAGTGTCTGGTTCAAGAATTCTTCCTGAGTTATGACAGGAAGGTTTCTCTGGTGCTGTCAGCTTCCAGCCTAAAACAGTACACCAGCAACCTCTTAATGCTAAGAACGGATCTGAGGCTTTTGCCTTACTTACGGGTAGAGCCACCCAGTAATTAAGGTTTCCTGCAAAGAGTAACAGATCCCAAAGGGGAAAAGAGTCACTTGGGAGCACATGCTTTTTTATCTGTCCTTGGCTATCAGCACAAGAAATTTACAGACTTTGAGCTTCATATTCTAGAATCATTACTGAGATTAGCTCTGGAAAAGAAAGAGGCTAGAAGGATAAAGGAAAGGGAACATAGCTTACAAAGATTTTTCCCTGCATCAAAGAGCTTTATAGTTCTCTGACTTACATCCTATAGGCTGCATTTACCCACCAGGTTCTTGGTGTGTGCACACTTCTTTCCTATCTCCCCCTTACCCCAGTCCCTTTTAACCCAGTCAATGGGTTTATTATCCCTGTGCATACCTGGGTATGTTCATTCACACATTAAAAAAAAATGAAGAGACTCTTGCTATTTCTTATCTATGATTTGATGGAAAATATAATCTTCGGCCCTGGAGTGGGAATATTGGCTTGGTGTCGGATACCGCAAACACTCTGATGCTGGTCTTCAAATTATGGTCACTACAAATAGGCTTATTGAAATTTCTACATATTATTGGTATTAAGTTCTTAAGATATACAGGTTTACTCTTAATATATATTCCTTCTTTAGGTAATTGCATTGTATTAGCTGTTTGGTTTTTATACCTTGGAACCCTGCAGATGAAAGATTTTACATCAATGCAGACTTATTAAACCAGAGACACGTACATCAGCATTTTCCGCTCAATATAAAAGACTCAGTACTCACAATTACCTAATAAGTGTGTCAGGCCCATAATGCCACACACTCAGTTGTGAGCAGCATCAAGTGACTGCTGCTCGATGTGCAAGCAGCACATTTCTTTGTCAATTGTATTTGATAAAAGTTTAATAACTTCAACTGAATATCTTCTACTTACTATCATAAAAAATTTTAAAAAGAAAAAGTCAATTAACCATATGCCTTTTATTGGCGGGATAATTTTGTCTTTTCTCAGTTAACCACCTTTTCTTTGCTTTTCCCTAAGGGCTTTTGCAAGGCATATGTTAGAGAAAAAAATCGGGGTGGTAGTCGTTGGATTTCCAGCCACCCCCCTCGCAGAAGCCCGGGCTCGGTTTTGTATTTCAGCGGCACATACTCGGGAGATGTTAGACACGGTGAGTATACTACAGGCTAAGAGGATCCAGGACCAGTACTTTGGATGCTGAGCAAGTTCTTTTATTGAGACAGCTTGGGGTTCTCTGGGTTTCTCTTGGGTGGTTTAGGAAAACAACACTAATGAAACTCACTGCTGAAAAACAAAGGTACATCAACAATGCCCAACAGCGTGATCCACTCAGTAGACAGAAAAGAAAATCAGTTAAGCTAAGACTTCAGTCAGTATTTGGTTTCACGGAAACCTTTTCATAGAAAAGACGGACTTGGTAGCCAAATGTTGTGCTGTTTACTTGTTCTTAAATGCGAAAGCTGATCTAAAATGCTATTTTAGCCTTAACCACCTGTGTTCTGACATTTTTCATAGCCACCAAATCTGCCATAATAAATTGTAACCCAACTAAGCAACGTGTTAGAAAATCAACAACAAAGACAGATCTAGATTATATCAGCCAGGCCTAAGTGACATAGAAATTATTTAAAACCTGTATTTTATTGTTCTTTGAGTTTAATTTTTATATGAATGAGTAATGTCAGAGAATTAGGCCATCTCGATCAGTCTGGGGTTAATGGAAGAGTCTCATAATATCAACAGTTTTGCAAACGCAACTGAGTGTCTACTACTAGCAAACTCTGGAGCAAAAATTCTAGGAGAAGCCATTAATAAACAACTAATGACAATACCAGACAGAATAAATTAATCTTGGAAAAGAAATATAGCAAACTGTGGGAGCATGAAGGTGGGAATGAATTATTATAATGGGGAAGATGTATACGGGAGGTGAGTTTTGAGCTAGGCCTTTTTTGATGAAGGTTGTGGAGCATCATTCAAGGTTTCTGACCAGTACAACAACATAATCACGTCACTATGAAATAAATGTGATATACGGATTGAAGAACAAGAGGGCAAGAGAAAGGGACCCAAAATGGAGCTATTTAAACAAAACAAGAGATGACGAGGCCAATGGCAGTGGAAACAAAAGAAATGAATCTGGGGACAGACATTACAAATGCGTGATGGAGTTGCCAAGGTATGGCAAATGCCTGAGTGTAGAGCAGGTGTGGGAAGAGATAGTTTGAGGTGTTCAGCCCTTGTGAATAGGATGGCAAAGCTTTCAAATGAGGTGCAGTATACAGTGAGGAACAGCAAATCTTCAATTGGAATGGGGGAGTAAAATGAGCCCAGGTCTAGACATGTTGAGGTTATGAGTCCACGGACCATCCATGGAAGAGAAAATCAGATTCCAGAGCTTAGGAGAATACGCAAGGCAGGAGCTGCTGTAGTTGAGGGAACTCAGAGAGTATTCGAGCCAATGGTAAAGGATGTGATTGTTCAGATACAAGTGAAAGTGAACAGGCCCAAGGCAGATTCCTGGAGAGTGCCTAGATCCCAGGGTGGATGTCGGAATCACAGGTGGGGACCTGGGCTTAGCTGGAGCTAGAGCACTCAGAAAAGAGATAGTTTAGTTTAGTGTTAAACACAGTAAAGAGGAGAACATTTCAAGTAGGAGAAGGAAGAGAACCCAAATGCCCCTCCCCAAACTGCAAAAAATTCAAATACAGTGAGAGATAAGAAGAAACTATTGGATTAGCAATTAGTAGGGGCTTGATGTTCCTTAGAATGGGCAGTATTAGAGGAATGCAGGGAACAGAAATAAGAATACAAAGAATAAAAGAGTGAAGAGGATAATTTGAGTTCGAATCATACACACACATGCACAGAGTGGCTGTGTCTTTCTTCTTCGCCATTTTAGCCTCAGAACTTAAACCAGTGTACAGTACATAGTAGGTATACAATAAAAATTTATTGAGTAACACATTAACAACCGAGCTAACTAGGCTTTGAGATGACAAGTGAAATGAGTGGTTGTTCTTTATACCTTTCTATATTTCCCGGGTTCTCTAAGATGAGTATATATAATATTTCCAGTGTAGGAATTTTGACAAATTATTTCTTTTAAATGGAATGAGTTGGTGGTAAGAAAGAGTAGGCAACTCTTTTGAGAATTTTGGCTGTAAAAACAAAAGTAGATTTAGGAAAAGCCCTTGAAAATGGGGAAGACTTGAGCATGTTCACACATGAAGGAAAGAGGACAGAGAAGAGGAACCGCCCAGGGCAGTAGGAGGAAGGATGTGGCCAGGGAGCAAGCTCCCAGCAGTGGCAGGAGACATGGACAGCAGGGAAGAATCTGTATTTTTTGTGGTCTGAGCAGCATTGAAGTACTCACATGTACCTAAGTCTGTAGATGTCAGACTTTGTGATTCTCTTTGCAAGTTCTTAGTTGCTACAAAATACCTGGTTTCATGCCACTAAACTTTTGAGATCATGCACCCATCTCAACAGAAAATTTTGAGCTATTCCTTAACATACACGCAAGAGAAAGTAAGAAATGGCCCTGTTGAACACCCAGGGAATTAAGGTAACAAGTGAACATAAAGGCCCACAGAATATTAAAAATAATATTAGACACGTGCACTTGTTTGGAGGAAGACAGAGATGAGGCCACTCTACAAACACAAAATGGCTTAACGTCTCCCTCTTCTGACTAACGTGTGTGACAGCTGCTCCTTTACCAATGACAACTCCAGCCTTGCTTTCATCTTACAGCCTTCCAGATGAAAAATTATAAATATATCATCAGCCAATGAATCGCTCCTGCTTCTCGACAGCATCCAACCCAGAACTGGTCCCTGCATCCTTAGAGTCAGCTCAGGCACAAGCCCTAACTTGATGAGAAGCCCCTCCCGACTTCCTGTCACTGAGATGTCCAGGGTTCTTCTGACATGTGCTGTGCCACCCCCTGACCCACGCTGCAGCAAGCTGATAAAGCATAACACTGACTACACGTGTATTCTGGGTGGTCTTTGATTATAGGACTTTAACATAAACTATTTATAAATGATATATGCATTACCAATATACTATGTACATTATATAACAGATGCACAAACAGAAGTTTAAAAGGTTGAGAAAAAATGAATAGAAATCCTAATGTTTTCCTCCCACATTTCCTATGAACCATCTCATATATGCACCAAGAGTGCAGGTACTCTACTTTGGAAACTGTTGAGCCATTCCATCCTCCACCTGAAGCAAAGATCGATAGAAACTATCCCAGATGTCATTTCAAAGATAACTTTTATTACTTTTTCTTAGTACTTAGATTTGATGTAGGAAATTTAGAAAAATAGGGAAGAACATTTTAACACCCATAATCCCACTACTAAGAAATAAATTACTCTTAACATGTTGGTGGATATATTAACTGATGTCAGTTTGAAAGACTTCCCAAAAAGGAAAGTCCATAAGCCCCATTAGTCACTCATTCTAATGTCAAAAGTCCCCACTTTACCTTTTCAAAGCATTAGACCCTAACATTGTCTTCCACCTTATTTGACAGGTAGGAAAAAAACAGGCTCAGAAAGGTTAAAAAGGCATGCCCAATACCATAGGATTAGTGATAGACTAGAAGTAAAAGTGACATTTTGACTTTCTGTATCTCAGTTGTTTCTTTTGTAAAGTTGGGGACACATTTGTCTACTTAAAGTAAGAGAATTGAAACAGGTGAGTTCTTGGTCCCTTGTGAGTCTTAAGGACATAGAGATGAGTATTGTGTGGGAGGATAGAAGATGATGCTGATCAGCTCCCACAAGATTCCACTTGGTTCTTGGCAAGGTTGGTTTGCTGTGTCATGAAGACAACCTCAAATGCATTCTGCAACTTTACCTTTTTCTTCCATGAGGCTATACATAAGTCATTACATTTTTAAAATAAAACCTAAGGCTAAACATAGGTCAGATGTTTTTATCCCTCTCCACACACTCCCAAAATAAAATAAACATTCGTAATGTTAGTTAGACCATTAAATAAAATGAATTAGCATCTAACATTCCTCTAGGACTTATTAACCACAACCTAATGATATGGATCTTGCTCCGTATCATTTCTTTAAAATCACAGAAGCTGGCAAAATAAGACAGTGGGTCTTTGTGAGACTTGTTATTATCCCAGGCTCTACAAGACATAGCCACTTAGGAATTTCAAGATAGCTGATGGAAGCCAATCTCATTGCAGGTTTTGGAAGCCATTGATGAAATGGGTGATCTCCTGCATCTGAAATATTCCCGGCATGTGAAATCAGCACGCCCTGAGCTCTATGATGAGACGAGCTTTGAACTTGAAGATTAAGTTTCCTGGTCCTGAATGAAACATAAAGACTTTGCCAGAAAGACCTCCCTCCTTGCCGTAGAAGGAATATAAATGGATTTCTCTCCCTTCCTAAGGACAATTTGGTTTCCAGACCAGTTTAATTGAACTGAGGGAAATACTGTCCTGTTTTTCATGTCTCCAGCTCGGGACTGCAGAGATGAAAATGTGATTCCAGATTTAAGTTTCTACTCTCCCAAATATTCTGCTAGAAATACACACACACACACACACACACACACACACACACACACTTCTTAGAATATTTTTAATGGCAATGAGCCTGTGTTTTAACTGCTACTGTGCAGCCCCTTTGGTCCAGACCCTTTCAGGGGTTCCAACCAAATTAGAGAATTTTGAATTTTAATTTAGTAATCAATGTATGTGTTTATTTATTTCATCTGCAGCTGGGGGTGAAAGTGGTAGACAATACCTGCCATCCTTGTTCCACCCATACAAGTATCAGCTAAGACTCCTCTGTATTATGGGAAGTTCTAGGCAGGAGGATAAAGAAATTACTACTTCTACCATTTGCCACATTTGGACGTTTTCCATGGACAAGTGTCAAAAGACATAGTTAATGTTTCGAGGGAGAAAGCAGAACTGTCCAACAGCAACTAGAGATGTCCTCGAAGGAAACTTTCCTTTTCCTCTTGCTGGTGGCCTACAGTTTTACAGCTGAGCTTTTGAGGTTTGGAAAATTCAAGACTTTTGTTTCATAAGGGAGTAGAACACAAGCACTAGCCAATCTTAGGCCTAGACTAAAACTGTAAAGTTATAACAACTTGAATATTGTTGGTGCTGTGCAGAGTGAATGTTTAGTATGCATAGCCTTTATTACTTTAAGGAACAAATTTTCATTTTCATATTGGATTCTGAGTAAATGGTGAGATTCTATTTCCTTTAAAACTGACCCCCAAGACCACACTTGAAGAATGTATTGATTCAAGAAGAACATTTAAAAGCAAATTCTATCTAACGTTTTTAAGACTGATATCCCTGTTGAAGCCTAATAAATAGTAGTATCACTTGGCACATGCACTCTGAATTGGGTCAAAGTGGGCTTGCACACTTTTGAGCAACTAACTGTAACTTACTTGCATTTTCTGTCTTTCTGTCCGTCTCTCTCTGAATGTGAACACAAACTTCTCTGGAAAAGTAGCCCTTTGCTAATTGGATCTAGTTGGTGTGGAAAAAGCCCATGGAAAACCTTATCTTTAACAAGCTCCCAGATGGTGCCCAGATTTGGAAACTCTAAAGAGCAGTGGTGACCTTTTAGCAATGCTTCTGTAACAGTTTGAATGAGTTGCAGAACATTCCACTCCATCAAATGACACTGTAAACAAATCACTTCAAGAGAGGTTTGGCTTTGTGTGACACAGATGGACCCAAGCTTTCATGCTGTGCACTGAGATAGAAACTTGACCCACAGCGCCAGTGCTGGATGGAGCAGTACGCTCTGATGCTCAAAGCCTGTTAAAGGAAAAAGGTGATCATTGTGGAAAGCTTTTTATGGGGAAATTATAACCCCAAGTGGGTACATCAGTTTAAAAGTGAACCACAATCACAGAGTTCCTTACGAATGTCTAGGAGTTGTAAGGAGTAGTTAGTGACAGGGGCAATGACATGGGTTCTGAAAATGCAGTTGCCCCATCCAATGATCGATTTTAAAAACTAAATTCCAGCTCTTCTCAATGAAACTGGTGCAGCATCACTTGTGCAAAGAAAATGTCTGTCATACATGCACAAAGAAAGGAAGACATATAGGTCTTATCTCCTGAATATGTGAATTTAAATGAAACTGTTCCTAGTTAATTGTCCAAAATGCATGAATGCCTTGAGTTTTATAAAGGAAAGAGGAGGTAAAGAGAACAATGAGACACGTAGGCCTTCTGCAAGGTATGGCATGCAATAAATGTCCTCCTTTCTTTCTGGGTCTGCATCTTCACACATACCTTCATACCCAGCTTTTGAGCTTTAAGTCCCTAGATGGGTGTCTTCATGAGCAGGAATGTCCGCCATTATTACTTTCATGGAAGAGCTTGAATCTAATTCTCCATGGGAAAGTAATTACTTACCCACCCAGCACAGGGGGACAGGGAGGATGTTACCCCCTTTTCATCAAGATCCAAGAGTCCTGGAGAAATTTATTACATTCCAATGTGCAAGAAAAAGGACTTATTTCTGTCAGAGTCTGTGTTGAACGTACACTTATGGGAACAACTATAATCCAAGTGGAATGCTTCCCGAGTGCATCATGAGGGATCCAGATTCCACGGGGCTGATAGTATGAGTATATGTCATATGGAAGAGGGTCGGTTAGAAGGATAGTTGTGAATAATGAGATTTTTTAGTTTTTATAAGAAAAAGTTCTTTATGCTAGGTTAATAAGACCATGATTTTAATTCAATGGGGATCATTGAGTCTTGATAACTATTTAAGAGCCAAAAAATGTCTCTTTGGTTGGGTCTGTTGGGAAAGAGAATTTTCTAGGAGGACTATAATGTTATGTACCTTCAACTCTTCTATTTGCACACACACACACACACACACACACACACACACACACATTTTTTCCTTTACAGAGGAAACAAGAGTATAAAAGTATACTTTTATCTGGTTGGTCAATAGATAAATGGAAGATGTTCTAGAAAATGGCCTTCGGAGAAGCAGAAGAGAAAGGTTCCATGTGATATTTGTAAGGAGGATATATTCGCATAACAAGAAAATGGCATAGACTCATTCCTAATCTTAACATGAAACCATGGTGTCATGGACATTTAGCCACATTGCCTTTCAACATGTTTTGATTGCCAAAATATGAGAACCATTATTGGACCTTTGGTTTGATATACTAGTTGGCTCTAATAACATAACATGAACCTTATTTTGATTTTCTGTTGATAGTTAAGTATGTTTATACTGGTAAAGTAAATTTATTCCATGGCCAACATTTTCTCTTCAATGGGACATTTTGTTCTCTCTTTCCAAGTAACTTTTCTTTCTATAAAAATAGACCCCATATTGAAGAATAATCTGCCATTCATTTGGGCAAAATTATTCCTTCTCCAGTTCTCTCCTGTATCACTCCCTATAAGATGTCCATTTTCCTTTTCATCACCTTATTCCTGGATGTGGTGTGTTTTTTCTCCTTTCTCTTCCTACTCTTTAAAAAACAACCTTCCCAACCTCTGCTTATTTATTTATTCCAACAGCTCTTTTTTTCCAGAGATAGCAAATATTATAAATGGTTTACTTTGATTTAAAAATCCAAGTTCTTATGATGAAATTTTAACTCTCTTAAATATATACTTTGATTTATAGCAATAATAACAATTGTAATACTAGCAATAAGAACAGCATCTGGTGAATTCTTGCAATTTGTCCTGGTCTCAAAACAGTAAGAACAACATATTTGAAGTCTGCTCTCTCAGAACACCCGATCCAGCTGTGTAATGTTTGGACAATTAAAAGGAGTCTGTATTTTAAATGTTTCTAGGCAATTATTGTGCAACATGTCTTATGGTGTCATAATGTATGTGGTGTGTGTGTGTGTGTGTGTGTGTGTGATGTGTATGTTTCACTGAAACATTTGAGATGACCAATTTCACTTCATTCTGCCTGTGAATGTTAGTTTCTTTAATAAACAAATCACCAAAATTGACAGTATAAAAAAATAATTGATGGTTTTGTGTTGATTTAGTTCAGGTTGCCCTGAAAAAGAAAGACTGAGACGGAGATTTGCATTTAGGAATTTCACTGGGGAAAATTGGTAGGGGTGGCTGGAGCTGGCTTGCACTGTGATGAAAGCCAATTGTTCACATCTCCTCATTCGGTGACATCACATTGGTAGCTTGAAATTGACGACAGTGGGAGTATTTAAACTATGGAAATTGACAAACACTACAAATTAGGTACCTGGAGAGCTGGCTGGTAAACATTTACCAGCACACTACTGAGACCACATACAATTAAGGGAAAAAAATCGGAAAGAGTTGAACTGTGGTGTTATCATAGCAAAGGCATTGGTCAATTCCATGGGGAACTGTACAACTGAGATGATCCTTTAGGGCTAACTCAAATTGACACAAGAAGCCAGGCCATGTCCTCCCCGCACCAACCAGTCATTGGATACAAGATACTGGGGTAGAGGTGTAGGGCAGGAAATTACCTTGGGCAAAACAACTCTATTTGGCTAAAGACAACTCACAGGGAGGGACCTAGCTGTGATTTATTATTTAAAAATTTATTTCTAATCCACCCACTTAGAAAAAAACTTTTATATTGTAAAATTTTAAACATACAGTTATTTTGAGAGAATAGTACAATGAGCCCACATGTGCCTTGTTACCTAGCTTCAAACATTATCAATTCATGGCCAGTTTTTTCATCTATCCCCCCGCCCACTACATTCTCCCTCCCACCAGATTACTTTGAAGCAAACCCCAGAAATCATATCATTTCATCGGTAAATATTTCACTGACTGTCTCTAAAAGGTAAGGTGTCTTAATCTGTTACTTGTTTCAACCTCATTAATAGATAAGTCTTCAGCATAACAAAGGAACCAAAATTAGTCAAATGTTAATCTTTTATTTCGCTATTTCATAGCCTGCATGTGAACTCCCTGGATCAAAACTAGGAATTATTTCTAAAGTCAGTAGGTGGTGTCTTGAAAGATAATAAAATAATCATGTTTTAGACACTTACCATGAGCCACACTGTGATAAGAACGCCAACATATACTATCTTCTGGGTACTCTTGTAGAGATTAATGATGGATTCATCTTGGAAGGCAACAGTATTTCAAGTTGTAAGGAGATTGACTAGCAGTGCATGAAGAGGACTTCCAAGACTCTGGTGGTACATTATTTTTTCTTGAAATGCTTATCCTCTTCCTTATCAAATCAACGTTGCTCAAAGGTTATTTTAGCTAAACTATACATTAGCAGGAGTAATTCAATCCAGAATAAGAGAACAAGTGAAACTAGTTTAATAATTTGGAAAAGGTTGACATCTATGCCAGCCAGGGCTTAAGGTGGACTTGTTATTCTAATTCTCATTGCATCCCTTGGTCCAAATGAGAGGCTGAAATCTCTCATTGCAAGTCAACTTTTTAAAGAAGTTACCACAGATACGAATCAATCAAATATCCACCAACAGTAGGTCAAAATAGAAGTAAAAGGATATATAAATATTTTTTTGCCATAGCATGAAACAGTGCTCCTTTTATTCAAGCAAGATGCCAATTTTTATATCAAAAATATTGATTGAAGGGGCTAGTGACTTTGGCTCTCACCCAAGTTTATTCAGGATCTCTCTTAATTAGGTTTGGGTCGGCTGCAGTGCCCATGGCCAGAGGTAGGTCTGGCTCCAATCACCACGTCACACGCTCTTCTTCATCATGGGCCAAGGACTAAGGCAAGGAAATTGCTGCTGCTTCGTTTCTGCAGCCTGTAAGTATATTTCTGCCCAGCTTTGAAGCATACGTGGAGTAAATGTGTAAAGAAGACCAAAAGAAGTGTAATGGCTTTGCTGTGATGAGATCAATCTACCCTACAACTTGACTGTGATCCCCAGCATGAATAAAGCTCTGTGTCTGAAAAATGAATGGGTAGCAATGTGAGGTCATGGAAAAAGATCTTGGCATCTCTCGAATGAAAACTTTTCAACAGGCTAATGCAACCAACCAGTCTATGAGTATTTTTAAAGGGTAAAATAATCTCCTTGCCAACAATACATGACTTCCCCATAATGTGTCTATTTTGTAAATAATAGCAAATGTCATGCAACTATTTTTATAGTGTCTATACCAATTTTATATAATTTATACCAGTCTTCCATCACACACATAAATCTTCAATAAATCATAGTCATAAAATATAGACACTGATAATATATACAGGAAAATGGATTTTCCTTTATATATAAAATAATGTGTTGATATTAAAAAATATAATTCAGTTCCCCTAGAACATTTTCAACAAAATAGCTATGAAGAGTTTTTAACTCATAAAAAATTCTTAAATAAAACTTCAAAGTATGAATTTGTAAGAGATTTTATTGATGAGATGACTCTAAGTGGAATCAACCAAATGTTAAAGATTTCCCGTATAGATGGGGCTAAAACTCCTATATACAGCAAATGTTACAGGTACATTACATAGAAAAAGTAAAATATTTTATTAAAGTGAATCCATTTCTAGTAAGATAGAAATAACTCTTAATAATTACCTCAAAGGCAGGTGCAGTGGTGCATACATGTAGTCTGCTACTCAGGAGGCTAAATTGAAAGAATCTCTTAGGCCCAGGAGTTAAAGGCCAGCCTGGGCAACATAGCGAGACATTGTCTCTTAAAAAAAAAAATCAGAGAAACAATAAAAGAATTATTTCTCTGAGGCTAAAACAAAGCAGATGATGAAAGTGAGCTAGTAAGTGCTAAGCTGATAAATATAAAATAATTTTCATCTAAACGAATCTTCATGAAATTTTTACAAGGATAAAGAGAAGAACTTAAAAGTTTCCAGCTAGACAAAAACAAAACAATCTCATCTAAAAGGTAAAAGTAACTGATTTTGACCACTGAAAATTACTTTTGTCCTCCAGAAAGTTCATACCAATTTTCACACCCATTAACGGGAAATACCCCTTAACAGGAAATATTTATTTCCCCAATCTGCACTAATGCTAAATATCATCATTTTTATAATCTTCATCAATATGAAAGGGGAAAAAATGGGTTCTGTTTAATGTCTGATACCCAATTACTAGTGATATATTTTCTTCATATATATATTTTCTGCTCATATTTGTCTTTTACACATTTCTTGTTGGTATGCCCTACCACTTTTTCTATTGTAAATGTCTCATTAGCAATACTAGATGCTAGAAGACAATGCAGCAATGCTTTCAGAATTCAGAGGGAAAATAGTTTTA